ATCAATGCAGACAGCCGTCTTTATGTTACATTCGGATGAACAAAAATTGTTCAGCGCACTCCACCTAGTAGGTTTCGAACCGAGATGCCCTCCACATTACGTTACGTTGCGGTTTTGGTTTCAGGAAAGAGGGCTGATGGCCTCAAAGGCCCAGACAATTTTGTACATGCTACGTACTGAGAACAGGGTTCAACACAAGTTAAGGGAAGCTTTTGAGGTCTGTTGCCCTAAGGAATAACATTGACGTTAATATATTCTGTTTCATTTGCGAGATATCGGTTGAAAACACAATCCCAATTACTCAAATTGATGCCTTTTCAGGTTCATTATGTTCGGTGTGAAAAGAGTGAGTGCGAATAACCTCGAAACGTTCTGTTTCATCTTATTTTTATTTATTTTTGCAATCACTGCTACTGGATATCTATGGGTCGTGGGTTAGTAAACAAGAAATTTATTATAATTGCCCACAGCTTTGTTTTATTTATTGTTTGTTGGATGCAGCTGGATGCATCAGTGGAAATGTCAAATGTCATTCAAATGCATGTTTTTTTTCACAGGTATGGCTTTGTTTTAATTATTTTTGGAATGTACGCTTATTTCGACCAGTGTGATCCCTCTTAAATTACTAATAGAAGATTAGTATCAGAAGAGCTCTTCCTGAAATGGGAAGTATCACAATAAAGTGAATAAATACCATTCGACAAACAGTGTTATGAACTAGCCACACTGTAGTAGTTTCATTAACAACCCTGAACCAGACGTGCCGAAGGGAAAACCCAACGGCGCTATGCGTTCAAAATTTTACCACTCTAAGCGTCTGCAATTCGTGGTAAATAACGCAGCTAGCTGCGTTTTTCATCGATACGCGAATCGACCGATCCATCGCTGAAGCTAGTCAATTGTGACACATTTCTGTGTACACATTTCTGCAAACTTTAAACATAAAAAGTTGTGTTTTATAATGGCGTCTAGGCGAGATCATTAAGGTTTCCTGACAGCCAGGTACCGTACATACACATGTTCATAACCACCATTCCAGGACAGCGAAGGGTTGTGTGTACAAATGGCAGGGACGTAATCAGCGTGAGCTGATGACTCACACTTACTAGGAATTCCTCGTTCAAGGGAAATAATTACAATTCCCTATCCCGGTCACGGAAGAGTTTCAACGGTTTACCAATGCCTTTCGGCAATGGATAGGCCAGCTGATTCTTCCATTGTAGCGCGCGTGCAGCCCCGGACATCTAAGGGCATCACAGACCTGTTATCGCTCAATCTCGTGCGGCTAAACACCGCTTATCCCTCTAAGAAGTAGACTGGACATAAAAATCCAGCCACTATTTAGCAGGCTAGAGTCTCGCTCGTTATCGGAATAAACCAGACAAATCGCTCCACCAACTAAGAACGGCCATGCACCACCAACCACCAAATCGAGAAAGAGCTTTCAATCTGTCAATCCTTACGGTGTCCGGGCCGGGTGAGTTTTCCCGTGTTGAGTCAAATTAAGCCGCAGGCTCCACTCCTGGTGGTGCCATTCCGTCAATTTCTTTAAGTTTCAGCTTTGCAACCATACTACCCCAGGAACCGAAAGACTTTCGTTTCCGGGAAGCTCCTCGACAAGGCAACAATACCCCATCGGATCGCTAGATGATACGAGGTACAAGAATGGCTAAGATTCATTTATAACTCAGATGTTATATTCATTATATTCTATCCTACTTACTATACAGCTCATTTTTTCCCAGCTCATCTCAATTATGACGAAGAAAAATGACATTTTAGATGGACAGAGGATGTGTACAAGCGCACCATTTGGTACGCTATGGGCAAATTTGGCGAACGCCATGGCAGAAAGCTGGCAAGCTTTTCCTGTGAAAAACATAAGTGAGCGACGAAACTGAGGCAGTTACGTCGGCATCGCCACAGAAACAATGGGCTCACAAGGACGAACACAATGTTCCTTTGTCCAATAGCGGCCAACCCTCCAGCATTTTTGTAAGGGCAAGGGTAATTTTGGCCCCAAACTTTGCTGTCACGATAATATCTTCGACGGCGGATAACGCCAACTATAGTATCTTTCGTCAGTCATTGCATGCACAACTCCAACATTTGCACTTGAGCTTCAGCAGAATTCCAATTTGATGCAGATGCGAATGGCGTACTTTCCGAAGCATTGTGAAGCAATATGGCCTGTTTTCAAATCTTTTACAAGAGCTGGATGCATCAGTGGAAATGTCAAATGTCATTCAAATGCATGTTTTTTTTTCACAGGTATGGAATGATGATGTCGAAATACTTACTAAGCAAAATTTAGCAGGTCTTCTCCTCCTCTCCGGGAGGGACATACTGATGCAACACTTATGAATGAATTTGGGACGACAACAGAGATGATGATAGCAAAGGTAGACGCGACAATATACAAAGAAATCAATCAAGATCGCCTTTTAAAGGCGGTGAGTACTGTGATGATCAACCCATTTCACTGCAGCGTTTGTTGTCTACACCTAGCAAGTTGTTGCCATCGAATCGATACTTCACTGCTTGCTTGCAGCTAGAGACACCGTCAGTCACAAGTCATACACGTACATCGGAAATACGGAAACATCCTGTATCAACACTGACTTGAGGGCAATATTGGAATTTTCACGTCGAGTGGATTGCAATTTCGTTCGAGAAGATAGCGACAAAATTTGATCAGTTTCAATTTTTCTTTCTAATGTCTCCTTCGAAGTGTAAAAGCTGTAGGCTGTGTAAATGACAGCGGGTATTTGAAGTGTAAACAGTAATAAAAAATGAGGGGGGACCCGTCCACAAGGACGAAAATTATGTTCCCCTCTCCAAAAGCGGCTATAAAAAATAGCATAAGCTAGTGGGTGGAGCCATTGGTGCTGCCGGGGTCCAATGCTCTATCATTGGGCCTTCGTCCCTGCCAAATTATCCCGATATTTGGGTACGTGCTCCCCTTTTTACAACCCTGCACTTTTGTAGGGGAAGGGTAAATTTTGACGAGAAATCCCGCACTTTACCGTCAGTCGATAAAACTCATGCGCACAGCGGATAACAACACATGCCACGCGCCGCTGCCCCGCAAATGCTCTGCAGTTTGAATCCTTAATCCATTTCTGCTTGAAATGGCTTTTCCTTCTGTCTTGCCAAGGCATTTAGCTTTCGCCACATTGGCCAGAAAGAAACATTAAAGGTGATGCGTGTTTTCACTCTTTGTAGGGCTGTCTTTCAACTTTCTTCATTGCCAATATTCTGGAAATCGGAAACGTGCGTTGCAGACTAGAGGATTCGAATTCTCCGAAAAGTGCTGTAATTGTGCCAAGCACTTCCTAGTGCGCGAGAAATCTGCGCAGAGGAAAGGAGGAAACGTCGAGGAGATTTCCGAAACTACACGCGAACTCTATTCCTCCCTCGCTAGCAAGGAACTTCTTGAAACACTCTCAGAATGCTCTAGATCACATTATTATAGGGTGAAAAGGAAGTGATACACTCGGCGCAGATCCATTCCGTTCTGGTATGCGCCATGCAATGACCCCACTTGGAGTCATTTGAAAGGTGTTTTGTTTACACGACAACTTATTTGTGCAGTCCGAAAGGTGCTTCTGGCTTCGAGAATAAGAATATTTCTGGTCATAGTATATTCAGGTCATTCCTTCATTACGTCGCTTCCTTTCCAATCCTGTTCTGATGAATGACACATTTGCGGTGCAGGATCTGATGATGCCAAGAAGGCTGCGAATCTGCCTGTTTTGAACTTTCTACCAAGATGCTGTTCTCCACTAAGTTCTCAAAGCATGTACAATTCTAGAGTAGATATTCACTGCCCTTTCCCTAAAATTCTTATGTAGAACGCACTCCTTCTGACGTCGTCGTTCCGATAACTACGCCGCAAATAAACAACAAGTTTCCACTTAGAGCAACAGTCTCAGGGGGTCTGCTTTTTCAATACTAATGGCACTAAAGTATACGCAGGCCCTATTGGAAAACATCTGAAGTGAAGTTATAAAGAAAACTCACCTGGGAAAAGCCCAAAAAGGGCGTTAAAATCCTCAAAGATGGGTGTGGTTGGAAATTTCTTCGGGACCGCCCACTTGCCAGCCGTGATTGGCTACGGAGGCATTCGTGCTCGTTTTGGGACCACAGGGAGTATTTGAACTCTGTCCTTTAAAGTAATCAATGTGATCCTGCCAGTTGCAGTGGGATTCTTCTTTTTTTGATAATCCAATGTTGCTGGTGTTGTGTAATGTTTCACAATTGGTTGCTTCTGATATAATTTAGTCAATCCTTTGAGAGTTTTCAATTTCCTTCAATTAGTTCTCAATCTTTTAGATGGTTTCTGAGATGCACAACGATGTCGTTGAAGACGCGGTCACTAGGTTTTCACTGTAGGATCGAAATGAGAAAGCTAGTAATAGTAAACACCACGCATGATGTGCGCTGCACCAAAAAACCGAAAAGCAGACGCTCACTTGGAGTGCACTACATGGAACTTTTATGTACTTTGGAACAATTATGCGCTCCAATTGCAAGTTGGCAAATAGCCAACTATTATGGCTATTTGCCAGCAATTGCAATTGGAGCGCATTTACTGCTGGCAGGTTCGGACAACTCGTCCAGCACGCGTCTTCTCTCATCGCTAAGGGCAGAGGGTGAGTTCCTGTTCAAAGCCCTATTCCGCGTTTTTCTTTGGTTTTTTCATTACTATCGGTCAAATTGTCGGGCTATAACTACATTATCAACGGTTTTTACCTCGTAAAACCGTCCTGGGACTGTTGCCTTAAATTTCAATTCCAGGCAGTTGTAAGATATCATTTGCATTAGGCTAACTACAACACTTGTGAAATGATGACAGCAAATAAGTGGCAGCAGCACCGTTGTGTCCGTTGATGAACCTTTTGATTACGACCCCCTCCCAACTCTCATCGGAGCAAATACGACCCCCTGTCGAGGATTTCCTCGACCGTTATTCACCCTGGTTAGGAGACCGACCCTTTTTATACTCCAGTAGGTGTGAGGTGCACCATGCTCAAGCTGAACATCGTCAGCCATCTGAAGCACAAAAGCACAGCAGAATAAAAAATTTGAACTAACTAGAATTCCACGCCAGTAATTCTGCCCCACCCTGTAGAGCGTCGGAGCAACGACATCTAAACAACATTACGTTTCTTGAAAGATACAGCTTTGCAGCTTCATGCATTCCGTTGACGGATGGCAAATCGCAAGGCTCGTTGACTGAGGATTAAAAAATACAATGAATAGCATGTTATGTTCGAAATGTTCGAAAAATTTTCTGGACATAATTGATGAAATGCAATATAATGAGAGTGGCTGGCTAGGTGCTAAAATGCACTATTCCTATTCAAAAAAGGATGGAATTAATAACAATCAAAATGTATCCTGCCTCCACACTGCCAGCACATTCGATGACCAGCGACGCTGTGAGCAAGTGCCCTCAGTATGTCAGTACTCAGATTGGAGCGAATGGAGAAGTCTGCGAAGCTGAATGCGAACAGAGTGACATGGCACAATGAGGAGTGGCTGCAGTGAATGGAAGTGTGCGAGCACATTGCCAAAGTTGTCCGATTGCGCACATAGTGCTCAATATCGTTACAGGTAAGAAGAAAACAAATAAGGCTCCGGTGTGGTTGCCCCATAATCAAAGAGGAGTCGATGGAAAAGGAAGATGGGTTGTATCAGTCGACGAGCAACTACGGTGCATTGTGCAGGTCTTTCGTTACATCGTGACTCGAGGACAGCTCATGGACGACTTCGCACGAGGAAGAATCATGAGAAAGCTGGACTAAGTATGAAGTGTGACGAGTGTAACCCAAGAGCTTGGTTTTTTTCACAGCACTTTTCACGTGCATGAATAGCGATTAAACCTTAACCCTGCTGTCTAAAGTAGAGAATATGGTCGATCACGGCTAACCAGATTAACTGATGACATACTTTCGCAGTAATTTACTCCCACAAGAGCGGAAACCAATTGACAAAGAGATTACTTATTTATTCACTTGTTTATTCGCGCATGCAGTATGCATGTGTTCGTGCATCAATAATTGATTAAAAGGAGAATTTACGATTAGAATGAAGGTCGAAGAAGGAGTAATTCACCTAGTTGAGGGACCCGCGGACCTCCTAAGGGTGCGGACTGAAGCGCAATTGGCACCGAAGGAGTTGACCTCGGCGACCTATTAAGGCTCAATCTTGGCGCGGTGGGCATCTGATCACTCGCCGCAGGTCTACGTGGCGAGTGATTAGATAGGCGAGAGTGTTGAAGAGGGCACAGCGATGAGAGTCGCATCAATGCTCAAATCAACGGGCAAGGAAGGGGTCCCATTTCTCGGGTTCTGGGCCGTTTCTCATGGTTTTTCCTTCTTTAGTGTACCACTCACCATCGCCAAGTTAAAGGCACAACCCAGGCAGAGGTCGTGTGAACGCTTCTCTTCGGTCAGAAGTATAGAACCCTAGGGGACAATCACAAATGTGGCGTTCACGTGCACGGAATTCGACCGACAAGAACGCTTGGGCCTTGCAAAGTAAGCTGCTCGAAGCTGCAGATTTTTCTCTTATCAGGCTGTTGTCTGGCGCTCTCTCATCTGATGCGCTCTCTCGCCCCATACTCTCCTCTTCGCTCGTTCCTTTAGCACAGCCAATTAGGAAGGTGAGTGAGCCCTCAACCTGAGCGTTTTCGACGGATTCTTTTCCTTTTTTCTTCACTGCCGGCCCACTTGGCACCGATACATTCACATTCGTGTGCAAGAGCCACACCAGTGCGATCCTGGGGCATGCCTTTAATTTGAAATGGGTTGCCTTTCCAGCGTGAATTCGTCCTTAATGTTGCATTTTCAGAATATATTTGGAAATGGACATGTTATAGTCTAACCGTGGAGATTTTGGAGTAATTTCAATCGCATATTACAATCGCTTGTATATAGAGACCAGTTGGCGCCGCACGCATTGCGCGCACAACACAGATCTGCGGCGAATTTTGATGGTGCGACGAAAATTTTCAAATTTGGCTTGATACACCACGAATATCTGAATTCTCAGCTAAATTCTATCCGCTCCATCATCGACGGCTTTCAACCTCTTTTTCTTCGTCAACCATTATCCTCTTTTTCTCGGTCTCCGGACTGCTTCCGGACAATAAATCTCGTGGCAAACTCCGCCTACTTCGGTGCGTGCCCCGCCCACCAATAGCATTTGGCCCCCTTCCTTTCGCCGACCTCTACCCCCTTTTTCACCGGTCTCTGGGACCTCTTGGAACCAAATTACGACACTTTTGGCAAACTCCGCCCACTTAGGTGCGTGCTCCGCCCACTAATAGCAGTTGACCTCTCTTTCCTTCGCCGACCTCTATCCACTTTTTCCCGTTCTCCAGGACTTCTTGGAACCGAGTTATGAATTTTCGTGGGTAACTCCGCCCACTTTGGACATGCTCCGCCCACCAATGACATTTAAGCTCCACTCCTCCACCCACCTCCATCCACCTTTTTCCCGGTCTCCGGGACTTCTTGGAACCGAGTTATGAATTTTCGTCGCAAACTCCGCCCACTTTGGTCATGCCCCGCCCACCAATAGCATTTAAGCTCCACTCCTCCACCCACCTCTATCCACCTTTTTCCCGTCTCCGGACTTCTTGGAACCGAGTTATGAATTTTCGTCGCAAACTCCGCCCACTTTGGTCATGCCCCGCCCACCAATGACATTTGGCTCCACTCCTCCACCCACCTCTATCCACCTTTTTCCCGGCCTCCGGGACTTCTTGGAACCGAGTTATGAATTTTCGTCGCAAACTCCGCCCACTTTGGTCATGCCCGCCCACCGATGACAGTTGGCCTCCACTCCTCCACCCACCTCTATCCACCTTTTTCTGGCTCACTAAGACTTCTCCGGCCCAAATTATGAGGACCCCCGGTGGGTCTTCCTAATTCGATCTAACTTACCACTGCACACCTAACATAATACTTTACGCCAGTTTCGAGGCTGTTTTGGTATATTGGGTTGATCCATAATTTCTGGCCGAATTTCAACACTTTGATTTCTTCAAGTTTTCTTTCCTTAAAAACAATTGATCAAAAAAGTAACCACCATCATAATCACTGATATGCATCCACTTGCTAGGGAATGGATGCATTCCTCCCAGAACGAGAGAAGCTGTGAGATGAAAAGCTCGAAGAGGTCGTTTTTGGGGTGGTTGTATTTACTGACTTTTTCTCTCCTAGCTGCTGCTTCAGGGAGCTGAGGAGGTGATAGTACGATGGAGCAATGTCAGGGCTATACGACAGATGTGGTGTCGTGGTCCAGCCAGTTTCCTTCGAAACGTGGCGAGTTATCTTTGCAATGTGATTTCGGGCGGTCCTCGGAGAAAGGAGATTTTGAGACGTTTCGAACCGTTCTCCCGCACTGCTGCGGCCAACTTCGGGAGCTATTCCATGGTTACCTTCGCAATGCTTGTCTGCATAAAGTGAAATGGTTCTCAAAACGGATACCCAGCGAATCCAACAACCGGGGGTAATATCCTCTGATGAGAGAGCTCATGCTTTGGTCGAGATGGTGAGTCCAGGCTGCGAGGTAGCCACAAGGCGTGCTGTGTGTTGTTATCGTGGTGGACTCATGACTCATCTGCACTGGTGACCAACTAGGGAATGTCGTGTCTATATGGTCGCAGAATGAAACTTCTGCAGATGGTCAGGCGTGCTCTCGGTCATGGTCAGTCGATGCATGCTGTTTCCATCGAGTCTCCATTCTGCTACAGCCCCTTTCGCTTCAGGTGTCGACTCATGGAGCGTAGGCTGCGTCCAGGTGTTTGCTACAGTTTCCTGCTAATAGCGTCAGGATGCACTTCCTATTCGTTGCGCAAGGGGTCCTCATCCAAAGTGACTGGAGGTCCATGATGAGGTCGAACTTTGCAGCTCCTATCGTCTTTGCCGATGCTATTGAGCCAATAGCTCAGTGCCCGATCAGTAGCAAAGACTGGGGCAAACGTAGCGCTGATCTTGCCTACCGCGCTCCTTGCAAGGTTCTTCTTAAATTGTCGTAAGGCATAATCGTTGGGTTTGGTCGTTGATCTATTTTGATTCCTACTTAATTATCCCGTTGCGCATTTGAGCTTCTGAAACATCCTGGCTGAAGGTCCTGATGTGTTCTTCAACATATCAACTTATTTCGATATGAAGTTAATTTGACATGAAGAAAATTGAATTTGAACCAAAATCGGCCAGAAATTATGGATCAACCCAATAGTACCTGAAATCTTTGTCGACAATACAACTCACTTCGATGCACGCCACGCCCACTGTGGGCGGGGCTCCGCTTAGCTGATGTGTGTTTTGTACTTCGTGAGACCTTGCCCACCCATCCCACACTTGACCCGGTCTCTCCAGGCGGATCCCCAGGAGCTAGGGAATTTCGTGACAGACATACAGACGACAGACAACAGACGACACACAGACGAAGCGCCTAGCTCTAGCGCAGCCTTGTACCTCGTATCATCTAGCGATCCGATAGGGTATTGTTGCCTTGTCGAGGAGCTTCCCGGAAACGAAAGTCTTTCGGTTCCTGGGGTAGTATGGTTGCAAAGCTGAAACTTAAAGAAATTGACGGAATGGCACCACCAGGAGTGGAGCCTGCGGCTTAATTTGACTCAACACGGGAAAACTCACCCGGCCCGGACACCGTAAGGATTGACAGATTGAAAGCTCTTTCTCGATTTGGTGGTTGGTGGTGCATGGCCGTTCTTAGTTGGTGGAGCGATTTGTCTGGTTTATTCCGATAACGAGCGAGACTCTAGCCTGCTAAATAGTGGCTGGATTTTTATGTCCAGTCTACTTCTTAGAGGGATAAGCGGTGTTTAGCCGCACGAGATTGAGCGATAACAGGTCTGTGATGCCCTTAGATGTCCGGGGCTGCACGCGCGCTACAATGGAAGAATCAGCTGGCCTATCCATTGCCGAAAGGCATTGGTAAACCGTTGAAACTCTTCCGTGACCGTTGCAAAGCTGAAACTTAAAGAAATTGACGGAATGGCACCACCAGGAGTGGAGCCTGCGGCTTAATTTGACTCAACACGGGAAAACTCACCCGGCCCGGACACCGTAAGGATTGACAGATTGAAAGCTCTTTCTCGATTTGGTGGTTGGTGGTGCATGGCCGTTCTTAGTTGGTGGAGCGATTTGTCTGGTTTATTCCGATAACGAGCGAGACTCTAGCCTGCTAAATAGTGGCTGGATTTTTATGTCCAGTCTACTTCTTAGAGGGATAAGCGGTGTTTAGCCGCACGAGATTGAGCGATAACAGGTCTGTGATGCCCTTAGATGTCCGGGGCTGCACGCGCGCTACAATGGAAGAATCAGCTGGCCTATCCATTGCCGAAAGGCATTGGTAAACCGTTGAAACTCTTCCGTGACCGGGATAGGGAATTGTAATTATTTCCCTTGAACGGAATATGAACATGTGTATGTACGGTACCTGGCTGGCAGGAAAGAGAAGGCTGGAAAGGAAAAGAACCTCAATGATCTCGCCTAGACGCCATTATAAAACACAACTTTTTATGTTTAAAGTTTGCAGAAATGTGTACACAGAAATGTGTCACAATTGACTAGCTTCAGCGATGGATCGGTCGATTCGCGTATCGATGAAAAACGCAGCTAGCTGCGTTATTTACCACGAATTGCAGACGCTTAGAGTGGTAAAATTTTGAACGCATAGCGCCGTTGGGTTTTCCCTTCGGCACGTCTGGTTCAGGGTTGTTAATGAAACTACTACAGTGTGGCTAGTTCATAACACTGTTTGTCGAATGGTATTTATTACTTTATTGTGATAATTCCCATTCCAGTTCAAGAATAATGAAATGCAACATGAGTTAAGATGTTGTATTCTACTGGGTTGTCCCATAATTAGTGAATCACTTTACATTTATCGTTATTTAAAATGGTGAAGGCGTGAAACATGTTTTGCGAAGTAGCATCCACATTGTCCTACCTGAGCAATTACTCAGCCCATTTACATGCTGCCTTCCGTGGCTGATATTTCAATTTTTCTGGAACCTATTTTTGAGCTCCCTTCTTAATCACTTCTGATTAGGATCTTTCAAACGCCCAACAACATAGAGAATCAACCAGCAGATAGGCGAGGGCACGCTCCCTCAATCCACGGTCTGCTTGTAGTTCACTCTATCGAGAGGTTGGCTTTTTTAGTTGAAGATGACCCACACTCCAACTACCCCTCAACTGGCAATCTCACTGCTGTACCCAGCGCCACTGAGGGTGGATCTGGACAAACTAGTCGCCATTTGCTAGAGCATGTCCGACTTGTTAAAATGATGGAATGTAGACATCTACGTAGAGTTGTAAAGATTTTAAAATATTTAGTTTGTATCTTGTATGCTCTGAGCCCGAAACAGCTCCGCACACGATCTGACATCATCATGTTCCTTCTGATCTCCCTTAGTTCCTTACAGTGATCATCCAGCATATTCACCAGGGTTCTGGACTGGGTGAAGTGTACTAGCAAATCTCCGAGGAGCAGTAGCCTAGCGTGAACGATTCGGGAGTTCTGACAGCAAAAGCCAAACCTCATTCTAGTCCGACCCTTCAGAGATATTGGTGGAGCACGAGAGTGACCTGCGCTGGGAACCGCCGCCCAGTAATACTAGGGTCACTGAAGAAGATCAACATCTACAGCGTAATGGCGACGCGTTCAATTTGAAAGTAAAGCAAGACAAAGTCTGCTTTTTTTCTGAGGTCGTTCGACCCCACCTTGCGAAGAATATTCATAAAAATTGAAGGCTCTCTTTTCACTTCCTGTGACCCTATCCTTTAGGCATTAGCGCTCCCGTAGCTGTTCGGTACGGGCTGACGGCCTCATCGATATAGGAGCTATTGCCATACAAAAGAGGAGAGGGCTGAGCGTATCACCCTGCATTACTCCTCTTTTGACATGCAGTGGTTTTTGACCATTCGTCCATTCCGGTATCCACAGTACCTTACGCTTTGATTGGACGTGATCACGGATAGCAACTTCCTTGTGGGTGAAGGCACACCAGATCTTTACCGTCGCCATGTGATACCGAATCTCTGGTCATATCGACCATAACATGTGCAATGCCTTTTTGCGTCTTACTGCGTCTTTACAAATTGTGTGATCCAACATATGCGCGTGAGTGCAACCCCAGATACCTTTTTGTAATTCTACCTGCTCCGGAGGGAACACGGCGCCGGCACTTCGCAGGATCTGTTGGGCAATCATCGCGGTCAAGACTTTGTAGCATGTATTGAGACATGCAATCGGTCGGAAGTCTCTGGGCCTCTAGCCTGTGAACTTCCTTTTGGGATCAGGACGATTCTTCCTCGGCAGAGCCATTTTGAGACGAATGTATGAGTCCTTAGCAGCGTTTGTGTACACCACATTTTCGGCCTGTCTGTAGCTTCTTGCATCTTTTTCCACCAGAATGCTTGAATGTCATCGGGGCCCGTATTCGCGAAAATGAAACCGTTTCCAAAGTTTCATTTTCGCGAATATACTCGCCCATGTATCCTCAGACAGCTCCGTGCTCCCTCCATTGTGCTCCCTTTCTCGTTCTTGAGCCCACGCGTTGAGGTCGTCAGATGGATGTAATAGTTGCGGTTCACCGGTTCAGTTCATGGATTTCCAGTGCTGACGCACTTCCGCAACGGGAACGTCGACTTCCTGTTCGCGGTTCCCTGGCGACTGCTGGGTATCCCCGCCTTCGCTCTCAAATTCTCTTCAGGGAGTCTTGTATTGCTTTGATTTCAGATTTGGCAATACTCAACTCATTTCTGTATCTAATTAAGAGTCTCTGGACCTCTACGGTCGTCGTGACTCTTTGTTGTCTTGCGATTTCAAGGAATTGCCTACTTGGCGCTCTCCGGTATCTATCGATTTCAATAAGCTCATGACTTAGCGGAGAGATTGTTTTGTTGAGCTAATCTCTTGTCGCTTTTACTTCTCTGCTTTTGAGAAGTCTTACCAGCTTTTTCTGCTTCATCATCTAGCACCATGGTTGTTATTGTTTTACCAATGGCGTATACTGCACGTTCGATGATGTCAGCGATCTTCGTGATGTGGAGTTTCTGCTACTAAGTTTTTCAAGGATGATTTCGTTGCCGAGCAGCAGATCCTTCGGTATCTCACCTCCTAATAGGTTGCCTATCGTGCGATTTTACCGCTATATATACGGTAATAGCGGTCGAATCTCTCCCTGGTTAGATCTCGCAAAGTCTTGTTTGAATCGCTCGTTTCTAAGGAGCTTTCAAGGCCAGATGTTACTTGATCTGAGGTGTCGATAGGACCATTTTCGTTTCGCCGAACATCTTCGCTCGAAGCAGAGTGCTGACTTCCCCCTCTTCGACGTTTTGCATTACGCCTTTGGGTGATCTTGTTCGTTTTACTCGTTCCAGTGGTCTGGCGAGCTTTCTATAAGCATACTTCAGAGCCGCGAAACTCCTGACCGGGTCACTTTCGTTTCGCAAGTGGTCCCAAGACTCTCAGAGAGGCCCAATTAACGCGACCACTCACATCTCTGTGTTCTTCGACCTGGTTAGCGAGATTCTCCAGTTCAGAAGTTGTCCAAAGGGCACGCTTTCTACGCTGTCGACGAATCTCTTGATTCGGTAGTTCTTGTAGCGTGTGTGAGCTTGGTTACCCTGTTGGATGGCTATGTCTGGAGACGTCCTAATTTGGAATCTCTCTCATTGCCGAGTACCACGTAGCCTTTGGGTGTACTCTTGCGAGGTGTTCCCTTGAGCTGTTGGACTTTCCTCAGCAGAACTTGTAACCGAGAGACCATTCGCCATTGCAGGCGTTTGATTTTGCTCGCTTTCCATTGGAGAATCTTGTGTTTCGTTTTCAGAGATCCTTTCTATGTTTCACTATGGGACCTCTCTTCAACGATTGTATTGAACTCCTCTTCGCCAGGGTGAGCTTCACGGGTCACAAAGTCGTTCCCTGTAATGGGGTCTTCCTGACGGTTAGGCATTAGTGATATTGAGTCATAGAGGCTGTGAGGGAGTTCTGCATTATGCTGACTATGTGCGTTTGAGAGCGTTTCTAGCGTGGATGAGCGTTCCGTGTTGTTTCCCAGCTGCAGTTCGGAAGCCATTTCACTGCTGCGAGCGAGTTAGAAGGCTTGATGGTCGTGATGCACTTGAGACTTCACTTGACACTCTCATTCTATGTTGTTTCAATGCTCTCGCATACGCACATTTCAGTGCTTCTTTGCTTCTCGAAGGATCTTCCGAACGCCGGTGACTTTCCCAGGCATTGCCTAGGTCGTACCATCGTACACGGCCTCCTCCGAGATCTTTGTAGTTTGAGACCATTGACACTACTCTATCTATCTTATTCGTGCTCCAATTACCCTTTCGCTGCATCACATGTTTACAGATGAGAGGCTGCCAACCTCACATCCACCCATCCTCTTCTCATCCGGCCTTGGGACCGGTAATGGCAGAGTTATCTAAGTTATTTCATTGGCCGTCTACCTGCTGGTTGAGTACTCATCTGCTGCGTTTAGCAGATCATGCGACCTTTCATAGATATTCTTTATTCGTGGGAGGTATCACCTGTATCACCTGTCGTCCCGTTGATCGTCGATTTGCTCGAGCGGGCGCCAGCAACGTCTCCATTCGTCCCTGTCGCGTGCTAGAGTGGTCCAGTGGATCCTCCTTGCTCGAGGGACACGAAGCCGTTCATTCCTTTCGTTCTAAGCTTTGCTCTCGTGGGAAGCTTTCTGTGTTAATGTCAGTTGCTAGGAGCTTCAAAGGCTATGTAAATGGAGGAATGCAACCTTTTCATCGAGGGTGTAGATTCGGACGGTTTTTTTTTGAAATTTCGGCAAATCTGACCCAGTGACAATCGCGCCGCAGCTGCCGTTGAATCGGCCTTTGATACACTCGGCTGTTTTGATATACTCAAGCAGGAATTAAGATTGAATCGCAACCCCGTGCCTTCAGGATTTCTGTGCATTTCTGAACGAACCTGACTTTGAGGTCACACAAAGTTAATGCCTCTTTCCTCGAGTCGATATTTCAGTAAATACACAAAAGTGTGCAGCGATGAAAGACAGTGCATAGATGACAAGATGAGGCGTCCATAACATTATTTTGCAGGATTTTTTTGATTTGTTCCGCATGATTTATTTCGATTAATTAATTGAATTATTAGGTCGGTCCATAATTTTTGAGGAAGTTACATGCATTTTTGTAAAAATTT